GGTCACCTCCGGGGCAGGCGGGAATCGAGCTCATGAGGAAGCGGCTTTAGATTCTCAGTGCTGTGCTTTAACCCGCTGCGCCACCAGGGAGGGCCTAGTTTAATACTCTTAAGCAAATCATTTAACTTCTCAGTCCGTTTCCTAGCCAGTTTTCAGTCTATTTTGCATCTCTTGTTATTTGTTATTATGATAATACGTTAATATTATCATACCCTTGTCTACTTCAAAATGAAGATATGGGATTCCAATGGAATGATACATATAAACTGACCTATAACTAATTATTCATGTTAGTATCTTTAATAATGTGCTCATCAAGACTAAAAACATACATGCTCAGCTCTTCTACTTGCATAAGAAAACCCCCAAAACTCGTTTTTACTGCAATCAGTATGTAAATATTACACTGTAAGTCCCAGTCATTATGTAAATATTACATTGTAAGTCCCTGAGGATCTGAACTCTTACTATGCTTATTCGAGTCTCTATTTGGGGGTGTCTACACAAGCCAGGAAATAATTCAGTTCCACTAAGCTCCTCTTTGATAAGCAACCTGGAAAAAGAAAATCAGATGACCTTGAAAAAGGTAAGTAACAAACTGTCATTGGGTAATACGAAACAACTCTTTAAAAACTACTGACCTGGAAACACATACAGGATGTGCACTGGGGCGGAGAGTTAGTCTTGCAAGAACTTTTGAAATATTACGGGATATGACAAAATCATAACTACACACAAAAGCCTGACTAACCTCTGTTTTCTTGCTGCAAGTCTCTAATCTGTGTATTCTCTTGGGACAGCAGAATGTGAGGTTTGTATTTGGACATGTCCTTTATATCGGATGCATCCTCTTGATACTGGACAAACAGAGACAGACTGAGCGCGCCATAAACAGGTGACCAGCAGCAGCTACCCCTGAAGGGCAGCAGTCTCGACCCCGGTCGCGGAGAAGCCTCGCAGCCACCCTCCGGGCCGGGAACCCACCACACCTCGTTCCCACTTTACCTGGCTCCAAGCCCCTCACATGCCCAGCAGACGGGGCTCGGCCCCCACCCTCCGCCTGACCTGCTCGGGCAGCGACGTGCCCGCCTCCCGCATAGCGGCCACCCGCCGGTGCAACGCGGCCGACTGGTCCACCAGCGACTCCGCCGCCGCGTCGTGTTCCCGCAGCCTCTCCAGCAGCGTCTTCGCGTCCGTCAGGATCTTCTCGATGGTGCAGCTCATCGTGCCCGCGACACGACCCCGCGCCGCGCGGCTCCGCGGCTCGCTCGGTTCGCCCGAGCTGGCTCCGCGCGCGACGTCACTTCCGGGCACGTTCGCCGGCGG